TGTACCAATGTCTGAACAGTTCAGTGATACTGACGCAAATCAGTTTAATCAATTACAAAAAGTTTATATTACAAATCTGCCTTAATTCACAGATCACAATCATCAGAAATCGGTCTATGTGAAACAAAATCCAGAGAAAGAGTCTGTTCGTCTGGGAGGCTCTGTGACACTCGAATGTTCAGTTCTCTCCAAGAATAAAGAAAAAGCACTCCAATGTCCAGATGACCACAGAGCGTACTGGTTCAGAGCTGGATCTGAAGGTTTTGCTCCAAACATCATTTACCCTCTTGTGAACAACAGTGATGAAGCTCTTAAGAGACGATGTGTCTACAGCCTGACCAAAACGATACAGAACTCCTCCGATATCGGGACTTACTACTGTGCTGTTGTGACATGTGGGGAGATCCTGCTGGGTGAAGGAACTAAGGTGGAGACACGTATGTATCTGTATTTGTCTTTAAATCTTAAATGATCTTGCATTAAAGTATAAAAGACTTACTAGAGATAGTCTGATGTTTTTTGTACTAAGTACTGTAATGCGATGTTATTAATTCCATGCATCACAATGCTTGGGATAGTCTCTAAATATCACGCTTTATTCAAGTTACATAGTACAGACAAATGTAATGCACCACTGCTCGTTTCATCTAGCCTTTCCATAACTCTAATCTTTGAGTTATCTATGATTAATGGTTTAATCTTAATAGTTATCATTTCACTTTAATTGCCACAGGTACATAAAACACAAAAACAAAGCACACTCCATGTAGTCTGCCTTCATAAACATTTGTGAAACACCAGATTGTTCTTACAAACTTGTTGAATTCAAGCATGGTACTGTAATAGGATGCCACAGTGACAACAGTTTGTGAAATTTCTTTCCTCCTACATGCTCCAGTATAAATGTTTTTATTGCAGTGGAAGTAACAAAGCCTCAAAGTGGCAAACCACATAAACTTACAGTGTGGGGTTGTTGAGTGTTGAGAAGCATAGTGCATAGTGCATAAAAGTCACCAATGCTTTGCAGACTCAATAGATGTTCCAAACTTCCGCAAGCATTAACAGCAGCACAAATACTGTGCTATGAATACAAATACTCATCATAAGCTGTCTCTACCTCTACAAAAATAGAATATTGTTCGTTATAAGAACATTTCTGCAACAACTGATGAATTCCATGATCACATATTAAATTAAACAGTCTCTTTCTCTCTCTTTTAACTAATGTAGGACCAGGATTAGGCTCTGTTGTCCTCATTCTTGGAGTTCTGCTAGGTTGTTGCATTTCTGTGATTGTGCTTCTTCTTTTGTACCCCAGAGGGATAAATGTTTGTCAGCATTGCAAAGGTGGGTTTATCATAACTGCGTGTGTGTGCGTGTGTGTGTGCATGTGTAAAGATATATTTTTAAACTAAAATTATGCTTAAGATCCAAATATTTGTTTCACTTTATCATACCAGGACAACAACATGAACACAGGATAACAAAATATATAATTATATTATATAACCTTGTTAAACAATTCTTGTGTGAGTAAACACTCAGTGGAACACTTGTAGTCATCTTCTTCCCTTTGTGTTTTCCTATGTTTCATTTTGTAGTAGTAGATGTGTGTTTGAAAAGCAAAAGTTGTCATATCACAACATTGTATTGCAAAAATAAATACTAAAGATTCACTGCTTAAAACTTCTGTTTTAATGTTACCACACTATTATTCCAATCATATCCCCAAATCGTATTGCTTTAGGGGAAATACGTGGGACCAATCATGCTGGATGTGACGTGTCAAATGTGGGTCAATCAAATGATTTGGTAAATGTGCTTTTACTATATATTGTGCAGCATGGTTTTGGAAAAGAGATTAGCAATTTCATACCCACAACATATAATAAAGATATCACAATGTCTTGTTAAATTTGTTACAATACAAAGTGCTGGAATAAAGTTAATTGGTGCACATACAGTTAGTTTTACAAATGAAATTGTAGAAATATTTACGGGATTAATAGAACAAACCAAACCCGTACCATTAGAGATGGAGGCTTTAGAACTGAACATCTTAACTGTGTTGACTGTATTTTTAATCTAGTGTCACCTGAAGACCTGAAAATCACCAGCCTCCAATATTGATTTTCTGACTTGTCCCTTTACATTGAGAAACATTATTTGGAAGTTATTCCACAATTTATAGACCTATTTCTTTTGCAGATTGGTGAAACTGCCCATCTTTACTTCTGAGAGACTTTAATTAAAGCTGAAAATATGCACTTACTTGATTTAAAATCCACTTTGATGGAAGCAAAATTACTGAAAAATTTCATTGCCCAAAAACTTATCGACCCAACCACATAGAAATGCTGATAAAAAATTCGAAGATATATTGCAAAATATTAGAATAATCTTACACGTTTTCTTTTAAAAAATAGTAGATATATTGCACATATGTAATTTCTGACTATTCCAATAATCTTACTTGAGTTGAAGTTGATGACATAAATTCTAAAATACCTGTAATTTCAGATGATGACCGATGCTACAGTCCATTACTCCTCAGTGAGAGTAAACAGAGGGAACAGGAAGAGGAGAGAGTCAACACAAGACTGTGTGTATGCTGCTGTTAGACAAGATTCCCACACTCAGCGGCAACCATCAGCATAAGCCAAGAAGGGCAGGAGTTGTAGTCCTTTAATAGACGCTTTGGCCTTTCTGTGTTAAAATAAACAGTTCCAATAAAAGTGTTTTTTTTTCCTAAAAAACAAACAAACATGTTGTTCAGCTGATGCTATGGAAACACAACCTCTGGTTACTTTTATTGACTGCAACATAAGCTATGGTAGTATTTTTGGGCCCAACAAAACATGTTGTATAATTCACATTTGGTATACCCAAATAATTGTGTAAAAATATCAAACTAAATAAATTCCATTGGCACATTAAAGTGTTGAGTAGATTTCTATGATTCTGAAATCATGTTTTTTCTGATCGGGGGGCGGCCATCTGCTGCGACCGGTTGGGGTGACAGAAGGAAAACAGGATAAGACATGCTGTGGAAGAGAGACGGAGAATTATAACAGGTGTGATTCAATGCGGAGAGGTCTATTAACACATAGTGAGTGAGAAAGGTGACTGGAAAGGACAAACTCAATGCATCATGGCCAGTAGCGGCTTTTGATACGGGTGACACGGGCGGTTTCCCGGAGTGGCATCATGGTTCGGGGCGGCATCATCGGCAAAAAAAACATTTTGCTCGTACTCATGCTGCCCCGACATCAGCCAGCACATTTTGGGAATGGCATAGGCACCGATCGGTTTTCTATCGCCCATGCTGGGAGTAAGGGTGCCCTCCATTTGCCAAACTGGAAGCTGGTTCCACAGAAGAGGAGCCTGAAAACTGAAGGCTCTGCCTCCCATTCTACTTTTAAATACTCTAGGAACAACAAGTAGGCCTGCAG